TTCCTGCATATGACAGTTGCTCTCTGCAGGAGGGAGAAGACTGTGAACTGGGCGATCAGCAGTTACATGTTCACTCAGCTCTCAATCTATGGAGCTGGGGTGTGACAGCTGCAGTGTCTCATACTGGCTCTAAGTATTGGAAAGAGTATACTTTACTCTTCCAATACTTCTCCTTTAATAAAGAAAAGCAACCTAAAACCACTGCATCTTATTGGCCATGATTCAGTTCTCTAAGTAATGTAAAAAACAGCACATAGGAAGGGGATGGTGTTGATTACCAATGGGCTATGTAGGGTTTGCAAAAAAAGAATTTAGCATTTTTTGGACCTGGAGTACTTTCTACTAATAACTCATCTGGAACTCAAACATTACCAAACTCATACACATTGAAGCTGTTGTTACACACAGTTTTCAAATCAACAGTCCCCCAAATTGTATGCAAAATAAGCAAATGTAGGCAATATCTGCATAATTGCTTATGGGGCAGTCTATGCAGAATTAACTTTCTTCATCTCTGCTTTATGAGCAGAACTGAATGAAATATCCAATGTACTGTATTACCTGTGATGCAGATGACATCTCCCAATATGAAAATGTGCACGTCATACACAGAAAATCATTAAAGTTGAACTCTGGGAAAGACGAAATATTGTTTTACTATAAGAGTCATGTGTATTCTTACTTGAATCTTGGTGTTCTTTGTGTATATCTTTTAGATCTGTGCAGTGATCCTATGTAAAACCTTGTCTCCGTGCAGGAGCATCCTGTAATAAAGACCAGTCACTGCTGCACTCTGTGCAGGGTAACTGGTCCTGTATCCACCCCTCCTATAGTTTTCTGCAGGCAGCCTGTAGTGGGTGGAGTCTGCTGGGTCTCTCCCACAGCTTTGCTCTCTGCACAACCCATGTACAGCGCAGTGATGATGACACTGCTACTTTTACAGGTAATATTTGGGTTTGGAAAGGCATTCAGTGCACACAAAGTAGATGTATATCCTTTGCAGTTATTGATGCTATTTCTATAACATTTTTGTGCCCGGAGTTCAGCTTTAATATTGTGTGACAATTTCTTCCACTGTATGACCACCCAAACTTGTATTGCTTTGGCTTATACGTTTAGTGCCAGCATAAGACTTTATTTTAAACCAAGTAAACAAGATCATTCTACTGCATTTTGATACGTTTCAAGGATAAATGCAAAACATCCTTCCTCATTCTTTAGCTTCCTATTCCTATCATATCTAGTCCTTAGAAATGATTATAAACATGGTTAAGGGCCCATTCACAGCACAGCACTGCACTAATACTATGAGCTGCAGGTGCTACGCTGCAACGCACAGCTGCCAGGAGGTGCAATGAGGTACCATTCAAATCCATGGCAATGGATAGCATAGTAATGCATACTTTGTGCATTGTACAAGAGCATGCCCTAAATGCACAATAACTTGCGATTATCGCAATCCTCCAGTGTAAATGGGCCCTAAAAGGTAACTGTATTACCAACACAATAGAGACCCTGAGAGAGATAAACAGCTTGTTTTGCATGCACTTACGCTGGCTTCCCACTATTGCATTGCAGTAATGTGCTTGTTACATTGCGGTGCCCTTCATTTTCAATGGCACTCCAATGCACCCCCCACACACCTACGTTACAGCACAACGCACACTACTGTTAATGTGCATTGTGGTGTGCTGTGTCAGAAAAGAAGATGCAGGGATAATTTTTTGTCTGCTTTGGTGCTATGGTAGCCCATTGAAATGAATGTGCTACCTTAATGCAATGCATGTTATCGTGCAACATAATGATAAAATAAGAAAGCAAAACCAGAGCAGAGACAGGTGTAAAGTGGCCCTTATAGTAGACATAGCATCAAGTATATTTTTTCACATCGGAGCAGATCCCAGGGCAAGCAATCAGCTTCTTGCTTCAGTTTGGTCAGTTAAGATCTGAAAATTAAAGAGAAGCTGATTGGTTACCATGCACAGCTGCTCCAGATTTTGTCTGCTCCCGTTTTGATAAATCCTCCTCTGTTTCCCAGACGCTTTTTCCTGTGTTTAGTTGTTGGTGGGCATAGTCACGTTTATAAGTGTTTATATGCGTTTACACGCGTTTAGCTGCGTTAATCCGGCTACCCAAGACACAGAAATGTCTACTTTGGGTAAACGCTTCCAGACTGAATGCACCTAGATGCAACTGGATGTATAGGTGTGCATTCAGTCATAGAAAAGCATTACATGAGTCCAGGTGCATTTAGAACTAAATTCAAAACGCACCTGAACTAAAAAAATGTCTGCATAAGGCCTAAAGAAGAACTCTGGGGAAAAAATGTTTTAACCCTTGCAATAGGGCTACTCCTGCACGGCAAGGGTTAAGTGCTCGTTTTCGTCTAGGTGTGACAATCAAAACGGTATTCTCACCCGATCCTCTGAGCCAGCTGGCTGTTAGACAGGTCCTTCCAGCTTTTTTTCCCACCGCTCCAGGGGTCCAACATCCTGTGAGTCATCACGTCCAATACAGCGTATTAGACATAAGGGCACTGAGAGACATACCTGGAGCGTAGGAGGGGACAGGCTGGAGGGAACGCTCTAACAGCCAGCACTGAGGACCAGGTGAGTGATGGACGTGATGACTCACAGGACCTTAGACTGCTGGAGTGGAAGGGGGGAGAGTGGAAGGGCTTGTCCAACAGCTCTGAGGATTGGGTGAGTATAACTTTTTTTATTTTCACACCTATATGAAAACAAGCACTAAAAGGAGAACTATGAGGTGAGTGCTTTTCACTCACCTCATAGTTCTAGCCGACCTGTGACAATGAGACTGTCACAGGTCGGCTCAGTAGATCGGGAGGTGAGCGAACACATACCGGGTTCGCTCACCTCTCGATCCTGTCACGGCTCTCTGCCGTGACAGGGGGAGGGGCTGAATTCCTCCCTCCCCGCTCCGATCTGCCAGCGCTGACTGGCGGAACGGACGGGGAGGGGGGAATAGGCAGAGCCAGCTGTCACTCACGCAGCTGGGCGGATCCCGTCGTCTACGTCGGGATCCGCTCCGGCTGCGGCGTCTCAGTATACCGCGAGCTGTAGCTCGCGGTATACTGAGCTTAGGGTAACGGGAGGACGCTAGTTTGTGTCCTCCCGTTACCCCAAGGAGAACTATGGGGGAAAACACTGACCCCATAGTTCTCCTTTAACTCTTGCATTGCAGGGGTAGCTCCACTGCAAGGTTAAGAAAATGTTTCCCAGAGTTCTTCTTTAACCTGGCACAGTAAGCACGAAAATCTGACACATGCTTTACTTCTTCCCCACATTACAAAACATAGCAACAAAGAAAAACTGACTGAGAATGTATTCCTTCCTTGTGCTATTGAAAAGAAAAATCAGTTTTAAGTTATACCTTAACCATTCTCTTTATACAGAAGCAGCTCTAGTCATCCTTTCCAAAGCTTTGGAGGTGTATAAAGAAGTGCAGGTTCTTAGTAAATACCTCCAACTGTATAGATGGGCTATGGCATTTGTCCAGTCAGGTTCCGCATTCACATAATTCCTATTGATAGTGCCCTGAATGCTTTAGATGGCAGTGGAATTTGGTTCACCGACAGCTGCATTAAACACTATGTTACTTATGAAAAGACGATGTTGGGGTTGTTATTAAACATCAGAAAGCATTCACATTGTAAAAAGGAAGATCTGGTAAATATAAAAAGGTATAATATGACATGATCTAGAAAAAAGCAAGTAAAACAAAAAAACGTATGTGACAGTCAGCTATACTGAGATCATGTTTACACATCGTGGGATTCCTCTAGTAAATAATAAAGAATAGAAATACATCATGCGATATCAGTGTTGCAGAGAGATGAAGAAACAGACAGATGACTGGGGGGCCACCTGCTGATTACGGATTACAGAAGCCCAAAGCCTACTTAGCCTTCGAAGAAGGAAAGCCTGAAGAAGCCAGGCCAAACCAGACACACAAATACCATATTTCTGGCTTCTGTCTGTCAAAATAACAAGAACCACGAACAGAGAGAAATGCGGCAAATGTACAGTATCCAATTAGTACTTAATACCCATGAATGGATTTGTTTAATCTGCACTATCCACTGGAGATTTATCTAATTGCCTGTGATGTCAGCGAATCCCTGTTGGCGCATAAACAAGTATATTGCTATGGCTTTCCTGTTATTGATTTAAACGTCACATGGCCAGTTTGGGGAAGCCTATATAGTCATACAGGAATGCAGAAGGAAGCTTCTTATTTGAACTGAACAGCTGTGGTTGATCTGTCAGGACCAGCTTCCAGTTAACCCCAAAACACCATCACGGAACCCTCAGCAATGTGCATGGCCAACCCCTTCCACACTGCATGAGTACTACTTCCCAGGCCTGTCACTCACGTCTGCCAGGAGCATGTCCCTGAATACTAATGCTTCAAATTAAAATCAAGAGCCATCTTGAGCCGGTACCACCTCCATCTACGTGAATGGCAGGGTATGCCTGAGTTGCAGTGCTGCATGGACAGTGAATCAGCAAGCTAGGCACATTATCGGTGGGCATATACAATTAACCACCATTCACCTTTCAGCGTGAGCGTTTTCAGGCGATTTTGAAGCTTTTATTCAGGCTTGAGCATTTTTGTTTCAGCCAATTGAAAGCTAGTTTACTAGGAGGCGTGAAATAGCAAGTGTGCGTTTTTCAGGCACTCTCATTGAAGTCTATGGGGACAAAAATTAGTGATTCTGCCCGAAAAGGACACAGCACTCAGGTGTGAACAGGCACCATTGAAAATAATGGGAATCTTCATGTTAAGCGTTGTTGCGCTTCAGGAAACGCGTGACTCAGGGGTCAAGGGGGGGCTTGCCATCATGCAAACATGCCACCCAAGTGTTAATGGGGGCTTGCCATCATGCCACCCAGGTGTTAATGGGGGCTTGCCATCATGCAAACATGCAATGGTTTCAGTAGGGGATCACCCTGGCCTCTGGGTGACCTGATAATTACCTTCTTGCAGTTCATCCAGGCTGGTGATCTTCCTATTGCCATCCAGTGTGTAGATGCATCGCACCCCTTGGGGGAGGCTGACATTGTCAGCGAGGGATCGGGTGAGCTCCATGAGCAGGGCATCGAAAGATCTGAATCGCTCGGTGGAAACGGCATAGGGTAGCCCCTTGAAGTAGCGGTCCCCATTGCGGTAGAAGCGCACCTTCTTGGCCTTCCTCTCGGAGCTGAGTGCCTGCAGGGTACGTGTGCGGTAGAAGCTACAGTGGGCGCTATGCGCAGGGCTGGGGATCAAGCCATTGCCCCTGGCTCCAGACACCGAGCTGCCGCTTTGACTTCCACCGCCTCTCCTGGATTGCCTTTGCTTAGTCTTCCTCTCGTCGAAATGCTCCAGCTCGATGCTCCTTGCGCTGGCCATTGCGATTTCTAGCTGGACACCTCTTTGATGGGAATAAAGCGAATCAGCATCCACCGCAAGTCAGCATCCACCGCAAGCGCTTTGCCCACAATGGTTCAGCTTAGGAGGTGCTGCATGATGCTTCCAGAAATACAAGGTGCATGGGAGCTCCAGATGATGGAGGACATAAGGGGGAGATCTGCAGATGACAATGTCACTCCCACATGAGTCTATTGGAAACCTATAGTGTATTTTACCAAGGGAGGAGGAAAGGTCCAGCGCATATGCAGTAGCGCCTGAAAACAATAATGCTGCTGAATGTAGAGAGAGAGGCAGCTGAAGCCTCACAGTGAATGGAGCAGCACAGGCATTGTCTCCATGACCGATCCGTCTGTATTCCTAGATCAGCTGTTCCCAGTGCACCCCCATAACCTTCTGATTCAATAAGGTGAACGTTTGCAGGGTGCTTCCATCCAGCACTGAAGGTGCACACACCCAGTCAGCTGCCTGGATCCCTACTAGAAGCGTGGAGGGTAGGGGGGGGGTTCTATGGCGGAAGGCAATCCCTGCATCCCTCTAGCTGTGCATGCTCCTCCCTACTCCTCCAAATACATTGTATCAGCCCAGGATCCATCACAGCAAATGTTCAGTCACCTTACAAACTTAAATGTAACCCCAATCACTAAGATTTTATGTCACCTTATCATTTCTAAAACTGTTTTCTATCTTAAAGTGACAGTACGCCTTAAAAATGTATTGAAGTACCTTAACTATTAACAAAAAATGTATCTGATTTGTGTATCACTCAGCTGTAGATCCTCAAATCATCTCTGAATTGGTGATGACACTGTCCTTCCTTCCGGAGGGTGGCTACTATTGTTCCCCGTGGTTCCTGTGCATTTGTAAAGTAGTCACTGCTCCCGTAATGGACTACAATCTCACGTTTAATTTACTAATTTGTATTGAGATTGCAGCCTATCACAGGAATGAGCTTGGATCTGTGGCTACTTTACAACACACACAGGGACCATGGGGAACAAAAGTAGCCACCCTCCAGAAGGAAGGACAGTGTCAGCACCAATTCAGAGATGATTTGAGGATCTACAGCTGAGTGATACACAAATAAGATACACTTATGTAACAAGTCAAGGTACTTGAATGCATTTTTAAGGTTTAACTCCTGAGTTTAGTGTCACTTTAATTTGTGTCCTCGATATCTGCCTGGAGTTTAGCTTTACCCGTACAGCATTAGGGCTGATTAATCAAAACTGGAGCAAAGTAAATTAGGACAAAAGTCGAACTTCAGCTATCAATCAGGTCCCATCTTCCATTCTCTGGGTAAATAAAACAAGGAATCTGATTTGTTGCTGTGAACAATCCTAGCTGAATTAAATTTTTTGGCATTGTTTTTTCCCCCTCTTTTTTCACCTGTTTTTTATCCATTGTTGAATCTCAGTGCTGCAGGTCTTTTCTACCCTCTTTCATGCTCTTCTTTTCCATGCTTTCCAGTGGTGGGTGCACCTTCTCTAGAGTGAATAATTGTAATCACTTAATTGCCCTTCTCTCTTCTCTGAGCTCTTTTTAATTCAAGGAAATGTGGATTGATGTCCAAAACTGCATGCGCAAGGAGAAGCCGAACCAATTTTTATAAGGGGGTAGAATTATGGATTTCTCTCGTGAACATATACCCTATTTAATACAAGAGAGTGTTCTGCTAGTTTTGTCAGCAGCAGATTCACATTGCATGCTGTTGCTAAGACTATGATCTACAATGACCCCCAAATCCTTTTCCATCCCACATCCACTTACAAGAGCCCCTCCCAAAGACTATGTTGCATGTATAATTTTTAGCACCCAAGTGCATAACTGTGAAAATGAGGGGGGCAGTGTGTTAAGCATCACTTCCCCATTCTCCCCACACCGTTTCGGGTTTCACAGTACTCACTATATGATCACAACAATGTTTTGCATTGGCCAAGACAAAGCACCGGATTCTTAGCAGAAGGGGTTCTTCTTTGTGACACCAGAATTCAGAATTTTATAATGTCCTATGAAGTTGTATGGCTAGATGCAGTGGCATGTTGCACAACTCTTAATTACATTGGTGGTAAGTTTTCAGAGCAGAGAATGTCATAGATCTAAATTAAATTTAAACCTTGCAGTGGGGCTACCCCTGAGCTGCAAGGGTTAACTGCTCGTCTTCGTCTAGGTGCTAAAATAAAAAGGTTATGCTCACCTGAACCTCAGAGATGGCCGGCCGAGACAGTTATAGTATGTCTCTCGGCATCCTCACGTCCTATACACTGTATTGAGTATGATGACTCGAGGATCCTTAGACCTCTGCAATGGAGGGGGAGAGAGACTGGAAGGGACTTTTCTAAAGCTAGCCATACACCTTACAATTTTCTGTGGTCAGATGGAAAAGGTGGAACAGATTCCTCCATCTACACTTGTGGATGGAGTAATCTCCACCTGGCCCAAGCTTCATTATCTTGTTAGTCTGCTCTGCTGGCTCCCAAAATACCTGAACAGTCTGATTGGATGTAGGCATTGTTCAGGTGTTTTGAGAACCAGCGGGGCCGACTAGCAAGATACTGAGGCTTGGCCCAGTGGGAGATTCCTCCATCCACACAGTTTAGCGTAGATGGAGGAATCTGTTGCACTTTTACCATCTGACCAAGGAAAATCTGCAGATAATTGTAAGGTGTGTGGCCAGCTTAAAGGTGCCCATACACTGCTCGATTCTCATACGAGAATCGCGGGAAATCCCGCGATCGTACGAGAATCGAGCAGTGTGAACGAAGACGTGCAACCGTTTCTACTGTACGGTCGCACGTCTTTTGTCTAAGGAGCATGTTAGAAAACCAGCCGAGAATCGTACGATTTTCATCTGGTTTGAACGGTGCTCGGGAGACAAATGCCGAACAGGCCGGTGTGCGCACGCGCACACTGTCCGTTCAGCATTGCGGTCATCGGAAGCCTGCCCCTCGGGGGCGGGCTTGCGATGATCGAGAGTACAATCTGCCTGTCCAAGATGGGCAGATCATACGTTTTTTTAATCACTTTACAACCATCGCAAGACTAAGGTCTTGCGATGGTTGTACAGTGTATGGCCACCTTAAGAGCAAGCTGGCTCCAAGGATCAGGTGAGCATAACTTTTATATTTTAACACCTAGACGAAAACGAGCAGTTAACCCTTGCAGTGCGGAGGTAGCACCACTGCGAGAGTTAATAAAAGTTTTGCTGGGAGTTCTTCTTTAAAAATAAGCAGTCAAGAGTCGACATTTGAGTAGGGAAAAAAGAAAAAATGTAATCAAAGGACACACAAATGGCATGACAACTGTATTTCACAATACTGCGATATTATAAATCAGCCAAATACAGTGGTCAGTGTTGTACATATACCATACCGTGCTCTATCTTCACTTCCCCACAGAAAACAAACTCACTGATCAAGACGGAACAACAGATCATCAAAGGTCCAATGAATGGCACCTAATGCAATGCGTTCTGCATTTTGTTTTACTGACCCAAAATATTAAAACAAGAGGGTTGGTATGATAGCCTACATGCATACTTTAGGAAAGGTTTCCTGTAAGGGCTTATTTCCACCAGCCCATGCGCTCATTACACTGTCCCGTGCCTGGAACGCAAGGGATCGCATACACAAAGTCTCCTTGCGTTCTGATGTGAGAGGAAGTGTGGCAATGCCATTGATGTCAATAGCACTGCAGACATGCCCCCCGCTCGCAGTGCGATCGGACCGTGTGGTAAAACAATGCTCTGTGTCCAATGCGGCATGATCGCAAAAAATAGTGCATGAATGGCACTGCCCCGCGCCAGAATGCAAGGAGACTTTGTTTATGCGATCCTTTGCTTTCCGGGCACGGGACAGTGTGATGAACGCATGGGCTGGTGGAAACAAGCCCTCAATGTTACATTTGGGTATCAATCATAGGAACTGAGTGAGCCAACATGGCTGTGATTGGTCAACTGGAAAAAAAATGGCTAGATATGGAAGGAGAGGAGGGCAGCTTAACCTGAAGCTAAAAGGGGCTAATGTGAAGGCTATCAGCTGAATGAAGGGGGAGAGTGTTCTAAGTAAAAACAAGAGTTGACATTGCTGACTAAGGTGGGCATACATTGTTAGATTTCCATTTGGAAATTGTACACGAACGATCTTTCGAATGAAAATCAAACAGTTGACGGTTCCTTTTTGCTAATGTGAACTACATTTTTTGTACGGTCAGGTTGGATAATGTTTCTCTGACCAAAACTAAATTCGATGAATGAGTGGGGTTTTCGTTCGTCCAAAATCTCCCCAATTTAAAAATACACTATATACTGAAGCCAGTATTACTTTCACAAATGCTAATGTCGCTTTTATGTTGGTATGTTCGTAGATATATATGGTATTGTAAGAAAATATGGCTATTATACTTTTGTATATATATCTTATGATATGTACCTATTTTTTTAATGGAAACTATAGATCACCTCTATCTTTTTACACAGCTAGATAGTATTTGAGGTTCAATAAAGACACAGGTCCATCAGGTTCAACCTTTGTGTGTCTGTGTGTGTGTGTAGTGCATTTTGAGGTTGAATAAAGACACAGGTCCATCAAGTTCAACCTTTGTGTGCCTGTGTGTGTGTAGTGCGTGCGTATGTGCATGTGAGTACCTGTGTGGTCCTAAGTTTTAAGAGTACCCCTGAATGTGACGGTCTCTGAGGAAGGTAATTGATTTTTGAACAAACTGCAATCACAATTTCAGTTAAAAAAAGGCTGAATAACAGCCTTTTTTGAACAATTATATTCTGCAGAATGACCTGGCTGACTTTTAACTCCCTAATAGTGTCCCTTTAGAAATGTTGGAAGGTCTATTATAAATAATAGTGCTAATACCCAGATAGCAAGCAATTGAGCTGCAAGTTTGAAAATGACTTGTTAAACTATTGCAGACTTGCCGAGCTTCACAATTTTGTTGCACAATTACAGCAAGTGTGCATTGCAAGTCTCCAGATCAACTGCTTTGCAAAAGTGCTGTACACTTGCAGCGCTCTTGCTAAAGGTGGCCATACACTTTACAACCATCGCAAAACCTTAGTCTTGCGATGGTTGTAAAGTAATTAAAAAAAGTACGATCTGCCCATCTTGGACAGGCAGATCTTACTTGCGATGACAGCGATGCTGAATGGGCAGTGTGCGCGTGCGCACACCGGCCCGTTCGGCATTTGTCTCCCGAGCATGCTAAAAACCAGCCGAAAATTGTACGATTCTCGGCTGGTTTTCTAGCATGCTCCTTAGACAA